CGAGGTTATCCATAACCTCGCATCACTAGCCGCCTGGTGTCTACTGGTGTAGAAAACAATCTGGCGGTGAGTTGCTGGGAGACTGGAGTAGATAAGCTGTGTCCTGATTAGATGATGAGGGACAGCTGAGTCGGACGGCCAGGTGAGAGCAATCAGGCTGCTGCCTGCAAGGGACACCACACCCTCTCCACACACACACACAGGGGAACGAACAGGGACACAGTTTGGACTGTGACAGCTTTAGACTAACATGTTTAGCAGGATGTCCTGTATGTAGCCATCAAGCATATTTAAAGACCCTTTTTACTGGAAGATTGGTTTTAGGGTGAGTCAGCTAAAAAAATAAACAGAACAGCCTGAAACAGCACTTCCAACTAATGAATGTAGCTACTCTAAATTAGCAAATTAATTAACAGAATAAGCACCAATTACTAACAAATTTGACTCAAAACAACATCCGGCAGCTTCCTCTCTGGTCAATTGAATCTTGTTGTCGAAACAAATTGGTGTTATTGCCACTTCTACATTGAGCCCATCCCTGTGTTTAAGTGAAAATTAAAAGTCTGTAAAGAATCCCTCTTTGTTTCCGAAAAACTAGTACCAGATTCTGACACAAACAACTGGTATCATTATGATTTATTTTGTGTATATTACAACAACTAAATAAATAAATACAAGCAGAAAAGCAATCAAATAGTCAACAAGGGTTTCGTAAATAGAGTTAAAATCTTTGGGTGGATTTTTCCTTCAACAACTCTACTAGAGCATAGTGAGGAGGGTCCATAGGGCACCACAGCAAACAGCAAAGTTGTGAGATGTATTATTAAACTGCGTTTTCGTTCTTTTAAATAAGAAATATGGTTGTCTTCATTAAATTGCAATTTATTCTGAGTCCATTAATACCGAGATTAAGTAACCTCTATTAATCTTGCATAATGGCAGTCTGTAACGAGCGGAATTGTTACAGGTATTGGCTGGCCTTTTCTGGAGGAATTAATGTCTCAGGCTCTGTTATGGATTTGGTAACCCTTGAATACATACAATCTAGTGTGCAATATCACATCCAAGCATGTAATGTTGAATCACGTAAATGACACCACACTTTCAAAAAACAAACCATGTGCGTGAAATTGGTCTACTTTCATTTTTCACAGTTGATCAAGGCTCTCTGTGCAAGTTTGTAACTGAGAGCATATCAGCATCAGATATTGCATGTGGAGGTGCACGGGAAAGGGAGAGGGTGGGTGAGTGGTGAAATTGCGAGAGGCTGGATGAGTAGCATGGCATTCAGATGAGGGGTGGGGGGGATGCTGACAGTAGTGATTCTGCTGGCCTTCCTAAGCATGTCAGAGGCTTTGTCGAGGCAGGGATATTTACTCGTCCCTGGGAAAGCAGAGACGGCTGACCCTGCACACTCTGCCTGCCTGTCTCTCTCTCTGGCTGATTGTGTGTGTGTGTGTGTGTGTGTGTGTGTGTGTGTGTGTGTGTGTGTGTGTGTGTGTGTGTGTGTGTGTGTGTGTGTGTGTGTGTGTGTGTGTGTGTGTGTGTGTGTGTGTGTGTGTGTGTGTGTGTGTGTCCGCATTTGCTATGCGGATGTGTTCACGCTCTCCTTGTGATGTGTGGTGATTGTGATTGCGTGTATGTTTAATGGATTTAGTTTGTGCATTTGTATATATTATGAGAGGTGTGTGTCTGTGTGTGTGACAGGCTCGCCTAACCAAGGAGCAGCGGTTGGGCAGCGCCCGCCTGTCCAGACATCAGTCCCTGGAGGAGGAGTTTGAGCGAGCCAAGGCTGCTGTTGAGGTAAGCAGAGTGCTGCTAACATATGTCACCTGTCAGAGAGCAGACTTTTAAGACTTAGCAGGAAAGTTGGTTTTTCATTATTAAAAATAGCCAAACTTTGTCTCCTCGATGCCCTGTGATTTATTTTGGGAGTGTCAGGGCGGATTAGCTGTAAGAGATGCTGCCTTAAACAGATGACTGCGATTCAATCAGCAAGATGCTGTGATCTATTTACGTGCAAAGTTGGAAATGAGAACACACAAGTTTGACTGAGTACTAGTACAACATGTCAGAAAAACAAGTTCTAGCCAGGTTAGCTTTGTTAGCCATTGTTAGCTTGTATACAAACACTGTAGAAGGGAGAGAAATTGAACATACTAGTATGTAAGACGGACATATTGAGACATAAATACGATACAATTGAAAATAAATAATGTTGTATTAAAAAAGCTTTCAATGCTAAGTGCAACCACTTGGGCTTTATGAGGTTTGGGTTGGTTAGGTTCTTCAAATGTTCTAAATTAATTCAGTTATAATTGGTTCACTTCAGTGCAATTTCTCTGCTCCAGTGAATGAGACTGTTCCCAATAAGGCTACCCAGACAGATCCGATGAGAATAAGTTGATCATAAAATATTTACATTAAGAAATGTGGGGTATTGCATATATTTGTAATACTCGTTTTTTTCTTCAGTATAATTAGCCACCCCTGTCATTAGTTCTTAATACTGTTCTGTAATTCTTGTGAAAAGGGATGGAAACATCTTTTGATTGCTGTCGGAAATATTTAAATAAAGAGGTGCAATTAAATGAGAATTCTGTGAACTTCAAGCCAAGAATCCCTTATCCGGTGTCACATTTCGTGCATCATTGCCCATGTAGCCTCATAATCGTTCCTGCAATTTGAATACATCTACCTGACTCCCTCAGCCCTTTATCTCCTTGTCAAATCATCGCTATTGTGCTTCCTGCAAAGAAGTCGCCTCTGGGATGGTAGCTGACAGTTTAATAGTCCATGCCAAGACATCACACACACACTCAAGTTCACGGGGTGTGTGACCCAGAAATATATTCACGACTCTGAGCTGGCTTACGATCAAAAAGGTAAATAGTTTTGACAGTTTTGTGCCCAGAGTTATTACAGTAGGTAACTAAGGGGGTACTGAAGTTAAAGTTATTGGTTATGGCTTGATTCTCACTCTTGATTCGGACAATTGGAGATGTAATACTGTGCCATTAAATTACAATTATATTTGTCATCCCTAAAACATAGGCTTTTATTAGTAGCTTAAAGGACTTTTATCACATTCCCTTTAATGTAATGGTACATTCAATGTACTATTTTAATTTACTGATAAACGGATGGAACTGAATTTTTTCCACACTATTTGCAGTAGATGTTCTTTTAACCAAAGATATTTTTGGAAAGGTAAAACATTGGTTCAACAGCTATCGAACTGTAGCAGAGTGTCTGAACTGTACAGGAGTTTAGAGAACCCAAAAAAAGTGTTTTACTTCACATAAAAACCACTCTACCACTCAATGTCCTTTCCACGAAAATGGGAGTGAACTCTGCACTATTGAGTTACTTCAGCATTACAGAGGGCTACAGTAGACTGTTGCACACCGTGTAATGGTCAATAAATAATGGAGCAGGAACAAAATGATGGTGAGAAAGTGGGGGAGCAGATTCAGAGAAGTGGATGGTCCACTTGGGGATCCCTTCCCAAAGTTAGAGATGATGTAACGTCTTGTATAAGCCGCAAGCTGCATCCTCCACATTAATTGCAGACATATCCAGAGGGCAGGTAACTGATGGGATTCTGGGATTCTCCTGGACAAGCGTCAGAGCATGGAGCATCGATCGGAAACAGTATCTCGCAGCTTCGATCGAACAGCCTGAGTGCTGGCCTTTCACTCTAGAGGCGCTCTGATGCAAGTGGTCAGCCATTTTGGCTTCAAGTGAAAATCTCAGAGCACATAATCAGATAATTTCCATTCACGGCTGTGCATAGGCATGCTTCCTCATACTTATAAAGACATGGAGGTACAGAGATGTCTCAGATAGCAGACAGAACATTAAATCAGCACACCGCCTTTCTAACAATTCATTCAATTAGACTAAGTACCCTAATATATAAAAATTAGGACTCACAGAGGAATGAGGATCCTAAATATCCTCCATTTTACAAAGTTTGCGCTGTTAAAAAACTGTTTAATAAAATAACAAAGGAAGCTCAGAGGGAATTCTCTCACAAAGAAGCTGATAAAGAGATATGTTATGTGGAGCTAAGTGATGGTTCATGTCACATGGGGATACCACAAATTACTGAGGGCTGATGACAATGTAATATTTTTATTAAAAAGAGAAGCACTGTAACAGCTGCAGGCTAAATTGGACTTCAGGGAACAGTATTTTGGCTGTGAGGCACGACAAAGTGCTTTCACAGTGGAGATAAAGAGGAGATGAAGGTGACACTGTGGCCTCATGTTTGATTAAAAACGCTAGGGGGACAGGTTCACTTTTATCTTGCTGAATATTGTTCTCAGGCAGCTCGGGTTTAGTGAGAGATTGCAAAGGCAGTTGCCGAGAAGTTGGAGATTGAAGCTTGTCATCAAAAGGTCAGTGGTTTTAATCCACAGACCTGATGGGGAAATGCGAATTGGAAAAAGTAAATGAATAGCTTAATGCTCTCACTCACTTCAACAGCTTCAATCAGTGTGTCCCTAAGCAGACACTCAACTTTTCCAGTGAAGCTGCTTACATGAAAATGAGGGTGATAGTCAAACCCTGGTTCAGCCAAATGACTGCATAAAAAAACAAAAGAGAGAAAATCTGGGTTATTGTAAAAGTATAGATAGTCTGCTCTGATCCGAATTAGTGAATGGGTTAGGTAAACTTTTCCCATTATTTTTGTTTTCCTTCTGCGAAAAACTCTAGCAAACCAAACTCAACAATGAAACAACCACAGGGGTACGATAGAAGGTTTATTAGAGGAACAGGTCTTAAAGCCTAAATCCTCCCAACAGAAGGCTGTGTATCTTGTTGCTACTCAAGGTCAGACCTCAATTCATTTGCAAGGTAGCTGAGACTTTAAACCTGGTTATAGCTAATGTCAAACTTTCTCACCACAAATGAATCGCTTCCCAGTTTGTTTGTGACGGGACTAAGACCACTTTGTCGAAGGAGAGAACACTTGCTAGATTCAGATCAAACCAAATGAATTGCACCAAGATGGGAAACAAACCAGAGCACAATTCAACGGGACTAAAGGCAGAATTGAAAATAGAAAAAAACAGGATCCAAGGACATTAAAAGTTTGGTTTCAGCATACAGGAGCATATGACTCTTCAACCAATGAACTGTCAAGGAAGCAATCTCATGAGTGATAAGGTGACATACATACATAGTTCCTGAATAAAGAGTAAAAAAACACGGCATCATAATTGTGACATCACATGAACATAAATACAGTGCAGTATGAGGAATTTGAACATAATGACTTGTGCAAACAGTTCTTGCTTTGTTTATAAAAGGCCAGTGTGACCACATAACCACACAACTAATAAAGTAGATAAATCCAGACAAAACAACCAAGCTCCGGATGTTAAAGCTTAATAGATTTATCCCACATTACCAAGCAACAGCCCCCTCAACACCATCCACATGTCTTATATTAAAAGTTGACTGCAGTAATGCCCTGGCTGCAGTAGCTCCATGTGTTGCAATCACAGACATTCAGGTAGAGCTTAGTCGCATCCACTGCAATATATTGCATTCTTCTCTGAGTGACGTTATCAGCACTTGGGCCTCCTCTTTTTGTCTTGCTGACCACAGACTCGGTCTACGCAGTGGAGCAGTGGGCGGCTCATTAACATCAGAAGGCCAGCCTTGCTCTGGAGATGAGGAAATCTATTCTCTTTCTTTGCTCTGTGTGAAATAATGAGACTCTTGGTACTGTAAGCCCCCAAAGAGAATGAGTAAACCCTATTCATGTACTTGGTTTCCTCTAAAGAGTGAATTTCAAGTTAGCACAACTTAAACTTAGGTAAACAGATACAAATATAGTACACTTAAGTATCACTCACACACCTATCGATACATGAAACAAATATCTTTACTGAACATTTCACTAAATCATCTGATTTTGCCAGCAAGGCATTCGCTCAAGGAAATTAAAAATATTGTTAAAAACAAATGTATAGGGTCTTGACAATGTTCTTTCCAGTAGAATAAATACTGAGTAAGCGAATCATGAAAAATGAGTCCCATAACTAGCCTGAAATAATGTGCTTGATGGTTGCCAAAAGCTTCAAAGCCTATAGAGCTACACTTCCCTTTTGTATTCATATGCAAAATGTCCTACAGATTTTCCTAACAATCATTTGACTGAAAGATTTGTATAAATCGAGAAGTGGTTTTGAGTCATATTGACCAAACTCAAGAAAACACAGACGCTTAAAGTTGGGGTAGGTAATTTTTGGAGAAAGCAGCTCGAGTGTGCTAGAATTTGAAAATACACAACAGGAACAAATCTGTCACTTCCTTACAGAGCTCCTCCTCCAACACACACGAACGCGCACATGACCAATGAGGGCACAGATAAGTTTGTGCACAGATGGAAGGCTGACAGGCAGGTAGGCCATCCAGTTATTTTAGCAGGTCAGGCTAAAATTATTGGTCGTGCTTTTTACAGTACTACGGCTTCCACAGATGAAGTTTTTTTATGGATTTTTTGTCAAAGCACTTCAGATATTCATTGCTATCGGGATGTTAAGAGCATTCCATGGAATATAACAAAAAGTGTATCTTGAGCCGGTTTCTCAAACTTACCTACCCCACCTTTAATGGCAGATTAAATATTGTTCGCTAGGGAACAAATTATGCTTTAACAAATGCTCTAAGTATACAACACCAAACAAGTCCTTACAATGCTGTAAATTATCAGGCAAACATTCCGTTTAAACACATTTATATTTTCTATAGCAAAACCAACAGAGTTTCGGTTTTCCCATCCAGGG